GGATTCATTATATCTATTATAGTTTTCGAGTAAATAAATGAAATGTGAAAACACTGCTATTTCGAAGGTTATCATTTCAATTTTTCAACTTTGAACGCGTATTACAGCAATATGAATAATAGCACATGAATGTATATATACTTGCTGGATTCCCCAAACATTCAGCTTTCATGTGCATATATTGGATTCATTCTATCTATTATAGTTTTCGAGTAAATTGAACGCGTATTACAGCAATATGGATAAGAGCACAGGAATGTATTTATACTTTAGCAAATATTTGGAAAATTGCTCACTGTTACTAATATTCCATACTGTTATCAATCCAATTATTTCCACGATTTTATGGCACTTACACATGAATCAATTAATGTTGCATTAAAAATCACAATAAATTTAATTTACGTATGAAGTTAGACAAGCAAAATAGAAATCATTAAACTTGAGATCATTGTTTATTATTCAGCAGATTTCTTATTCAAATTAATTAATTCTATTAAATATTTTTGCGCGTTCTATTTTAATGGTTAGCATGGAATATGAAAACAATAAAAAGAACACGCGGTTTTTGGGCCACTCTCACGTTTCACGAGTTTCTCCGCAAAATCCAATTTTGGTTATATGCTTCAGTGGGAGTAAATTATGAGTAACTGTTAAATATTTTTCAGTATTTGCCTTTTACTTTTTACGCATTTCCATCAATTGTCTTTGACATTCTATTCCCATATTAATGAGTTCTACTTTTAATGAATTTAATTGTCAATATGAAATGACGAATGTAATTATTTACCGGAGTTTTTGAATAATTATTTTAAATATAAAAGAAATAAATAAAGATTTTGGTCGTTAAACCTATAACACAAATGGGTCCAATAAAAATGTGTCATACATAAAAAAATATAAAATTGAAAAGTGTTTATATAGAGTGATCAAGTAAATACGCCGGATTTAAATTTGGCGCCATTTTTCTGTACTTTTTTGGGACACATTATGTAACTATAATTGTTATAAAGGTCTTTTTTCTTTAAATAAAAAGACATTATTCAATTTGGAGACAAATTATTTTCATTATATAAATATTTATATAATTTAATTGTTGCTAAAATGTATTATTTAATACATGAACTTATAAAGTTATTATGATACAAATTAGATCAATTAATTATTATATAATAATAATTCAATGCAGGTTTTGTTACATAACTGAAGTTTGATGATTATGATAGGCATTAAACATTCCGATTGATTATAATGAAGATCTTATTAATGAATCACTATTTTTACGATTCCCGCAGCAAAAGAAAATCCTTAAACGATCGAGATGTACGTGCACTATAAGATATTTCTTCGAGTCTTATATGGATATATCGAACGGATACAAACATCAATTACAAATAGAAAACAACGAAAAAAACATTACAGAAAGGAGAAACGTATTGAACAATGTGATTTCATTTTTTTTTCTTATATATATATATATATATATAAAAACATTGGAAAAAAGGATTATCGGCGGAAGAACAACCAAGTGTGTCTTACATACGAGGAAATTTACAATTAGAAGATTTCCAATACGTGGTACTTTTTAAATTGCATTTCAGCTGAGTAAGTTGAAAACGTATTATTTTATAATCTCTCTGTCCGAAAATATGGTATACATTTTAATAATTCTTTTGTCCGAAAATATGGTGAGACTTAGCCTCATAAACAAATTTATTAAATGTTCATCAAATGTTTAAAACTAACTAAACTGCCAAAATAAATATTGGGTTCTTCAATAAGTTCTTGCGTTTTTTTTTTTGGTTTATGGTTAATTTTGTAGCTCTTGCTTTCTTCTTTAAAACAAATTACAAACTTTTTAATTTGTTTATATTTTGTTGCGTTTAATCCTAAAGTTTATAGAGCAATTTAATTGTGGCTATTAGGGATTCTCAGTCTCGACATTTTTTTGATTCTCGAGACACGAGACAACTGTTTAAGGAATTCCCGGGAATCTTGGGAACTCGAGAAGTTTAAAAAAATAATGTAAAAAATGAATAAAAATAAAATACATCATTTTAAAACCAATTTATATTATAGAATGTTTTATATTACACGAAATACAAAAATAAACTGGTTAGATGCAGTCGATGAAGCAAAGATGCAGTCATGAACATTAATGTGCATTCGTTTTATCCGAATGATAGAGATGCCGGAATTAAAACATCAAAATACACTCGGTCCTCTTTTTATGCGTATTCTTTTTATGCGGTTTTTATTTCAAGAAGCATTTTTTTTAAATAACTATTTTAGGCCATTTTGACACGATTTTACACAAATTGGCAAACCATTTCATCGAAAAAGATGATAATTCTGAACGAGCATTCAAGTTTCAACGCG